AAGGGGCAGAAAGGGATTCATTGTTTTGGGCTAAGCTGTAACTTTAGTGTATTCTTTTCTCTTTTTCTTCTTCTTTCTTTCTTTTATGAGGCTCTTAGTGACTCTTGGAAGATAAGTGTGTTTGTCTTCCTCCTGTAAATTTTCTACTGATGATTAATGAAAGTGTTATTGATAAAAAAAAAAAAACTATAGGATGAAGAGTATGTGAACAGGTAGGTCCTCAAGGCCTCTTCCTTTATCTTGGACAAAAGCATCTCCAAAACATTTTCATGGTTCCTGAGGAGCTTCCAGACATCATGGGATCCTATGACATCAAATGCCTTTTGGAAGTCTCCTTTGCCAAGTGCCCTGGGAGCAGCCATGACATGGTCTCAAACATTGATCTGTTTGTTCATTGATGTCAATACCCTGCATTGACAAATTTTGATTTTCGTAAACATCTTTTGACGGATTGGTGTTTTTTCAACTTTCTTAAGCATTAGTTAAATAATCTCTTTCATTAAGTTAGAGAACTTCCTGTCACAGTTTTCAACTGCTTTACCAAAGTATACTTCTTCAGTTGCTCAAAGGAGTCTAAAGAACTTTTGTCAGGTAATTCTGAAAACCAGTAAAGTCTCCTCAGATATGAAAATTTTCTTTGGAAAATCTCATTTATATCCTCTATATCCTTTTGCTATCCTGATGTTATTCTTTTGTATACTTGGTCTAGTGGAATATTTTCTTCATACTTGATGTGATTCCTTCAGCTCTTTGGCAAATTAATATGCATTGCATTATTGATAAACAATTTTAGACGTAGGCATTCCTTCAGCTCTTTTGTATACTTGGAACTTCCAATGTATCACCATCATGCTGGTTGGCTTAAACATTTTTAGACCTAGGCATATTGGTAGCTGATCTTCCATGCTTGACTTTCCTCTAATTGTCATGTTGGTCATCTGTCTCTAGCAGACTGGATTGCCGCTGTCTGATCACCATGCTGAAAGGGCAGTCCAGTGCATGAGGCTCTCGCCAATGCTGGGTCTGGGGAGGGACAGATGTACGCAGCCTTACCCCTGCACATACAGAGGTGCTGCTTCCAAGATTTGAGCCCTGGTCACTATAAGGTCACAATGTGGGGACTAATCACCATGCTGATTGATGTAAATAAGGACATACAGAAGCATACAAGTAGAAATATATTAGTCTTTTGGTTGGATTTGTAGATCCTGCTATAGAGAGGTCTATATGAAATATCTAATTGCAGTTATATCTCATCAAATATATGGGCCAAGTGATGAAATACATGCCATGTAAAATAGTAACAGTACGTTCTCTTGGTATTTTTTGTTTAGAAAATATTTTGTGGATTTTCTGCCCCTAATTAGGAATAATGTTCACCCAAAACACAACCACCTGTTTCCATGTTTATTTGTCACAGGCTCAACTTTGTTTCTACCTGCTTCTACTCGATGACTTGTGCAGGAAATTTGCATTCAAGAAAGTTTGGCATTTTCTACATGCTGCTTATTTGTCTAAGTTTTATATTGTTGTCCGGGGCTACATAGTTTCTACTGTAATAAGTCTGAACTGTTACTGTGCAATTTGATTGTTATTCTTCTGAGCAATTCGTTACATAACAACCATTTTATAGTGGATTCTCCTGATCATGATTACTAGCTGTGCTGTGCTGACATGACCTTCTAACATAGACATATCTGATGGGTGGAACAAAAGGAACATGGCTGTGGCTTGTTGGATCATGGGTCTGGGCTGAATGAACTGGATCTGAAGGGCCAGGGTCCTGGGCTTGGAGCTGCTTGTGATCCCTCCTCCCTTGAGATCGACCTTGTCCTCAAGGTTGAGGTGAGCATACCTTTGTTGGAGTTCAGTGTAGTCCTCCCAAGTGGTGTCCTCTGATGGAAGATTGGTCCATTCCACCAAAGCCTGCTTGACAACCTTTCGGCCCACCTTAATCTACTTGAAGTCTGTCAAGTTGTGAGGCTCCACTGTTAGTTGTCCATCATCTCTGAATTCAGGTAAAGTAGGGGTGACATGGCTAAATGTGGAGTTGCAGGGTTTCAGAAGTGAAACATGAAAGGTAGGGTGCAGTTTGGAGACTGGAGGGAGAACCGGCTTGTAGGCTATCTGTCCTATCCTGCTTAAGATTTAAAAGGGTCCGAAACATCTTGGGGACAGCTTCTGTGTTGCTCTCTGTGCCATTGAAGCTTGGCGATAAGGCTGGAGTTTCAGGTAAACCCAGTTTCCTACCTTGTATTCAGCTTCACAATGTTTCTTATCATATATAGTCTTCATTGTTATCATGTACTGCCGGGCTTGTTGTAGGTAGTTTTCTCAATGATTTCAGCAGCTCATCTCTGGTTATAAGTCTATTCTCAACTTCCAGCAACTGTAGTGTAGACCTGTTCATGGGCCGGGCTGGGCCAGGCTCTTGCTCTTCATTAACATAAATTTTTCATGCCCGAGCCCGAGCCCAACCCTCATAAAAAGCCTAAAGCCCGGGCTTGAGCTCGAAGCCCGACTTGGGAGTTTGAGCGCCGGTGCCCTCTGAGATTGAGAGAATGGCGCCTGCTGAGTTCGCCGATTCCTGGGAGTTTGAGAGTGAGAATAGAAACCGAGAAAGTGAGAAGATAGAAGATGACAACAGTGCCGGCCGGAGAGAGAGAGAAAGAGAGCTCACCACTGGAGAGAGAGACGATCTAGATCTGGTGGTGCCAGCCGTCGGTGCCTAAGTTCACAGAATGAAAACGATGTGCCTGGGTTCTGGTGGCGCCGGCTGGAGAGAGAACTGAGAAGATAAAAGACCTAGTTCTAAGAAGAGAGAGAACTAAGAATGAGAAGAAAGAAGATGAAAACGGTGCCGGCTGGTGGCGCCGGCCGAAGAGAGAGACGACTAGTTTTGGTGGCACCGGCCGCCGGTGCCTGAGTTCGTAGGTGCAGCTGGGTTCGCCGGTTTTGAGAGTTGAGAGAGAGAAATGAGAGCCGCTTTTGAGAGTGAGAGTGAGAAAGGAGAATGAAAAGAAAAGTTCAAGAATTTAGGGTTAGGGTTAGGTAGTTTAGGAATTTAGGGTTTAACTTATATAAAAGTTGGGCCGGGTTTTTTTAACAAATCCTGAGCCTGGCCCGTAAAATAGTCAGGCTTGGGCTTTTGGGCCTGAGGTCAAGCCCGCGGGCTAAAACGCATGCTCAAGCCTGTCCGGGGGCCGACCCGGCCTATCGGGCTACCTAGCCCATGAATAGGTCTACTGTAGTGGATCCCTTTTCATAAGGGAGGATTGAAGGGGGCTTTTGATCGTAGAGGATTTGAAATGGATTAGTGCTAGTAGAAATGTGGTACGTAGTGTTGTACTAGTACTGAGCCCAAGGAAGCCACTGCACCCATTGAGTGGGTCTCTCCCCCATGAAGCAACACAAATAAGTTTGAAGGCAGTGGTTTGCCACCTCCGTTTGTCCATCATATTGGGAGTGGTAACTGGTGGAATGACATAAATTAATGCCCTATAGGCGAAAGAATTCTTGCCAGAAGTGGCTCATAAATATAGGATCACGATTAGCCACAATTGCTGTAGGAGTGCCATGAAGCTTGGCTATTTCTTGAACAAAAAGTTTTGCTACCTGTTGTAGGTACATAGTGGTCACTAAGACCATCAAAGTATAGAGGGTGTCAAATCAACGCTACATGGATGCCTACAATGAATCTATAACCCATCGCACGTTTGCGATGAGTTCATTGCAAATCTGCGATCGTGATGAACTAATATTCGGGACAGGTGGCGATGAACTTCGACTAGTGCGAATCTGCGATAAAGCTAAGACACGCGCGGGTTTGCGATGAACCCCAAACACACGCGAATTTGCGATGAACCCTGAACACATGTGGAGTTGCGATGAACCTGACACCATTACAGAACTGCGGAATCATAGTAGTTCGGAAAATGCCGGTTACACGTGCATCTTTAAATTACGCATGCGGGTTTAATGAAAGTATGCCCGCCAAACGATGATGTCACCCAAGCCACGTCAGTATAATAGGGTCAGATACGGGAGAGATCCTCTTTCCTAATAGGAAAGAACTCCTTCCTTGATAGCCTTAACTCTCTCTATAAAAGGGGGAGAGCAATTCTTCCCTGGGGGGAGACAACATAATACAACTTTGACCTAGGGTTTCTGGGAGAGGGGCAACTCCCTTCTCTCCTCTCTTTCCCTCTCTTCTCCACGTTCCTTCTCATCCCCGTTGCCATCTCCAGACTTTCGGAGACTTGACCACCCACCAACGAGAACACTATACCCTACTTACACCTGTAAGGATAGAATAAAACCATGAAGTGAGCATATTTGCTCAGCCTGTCCACCACTGCTAAGATCACTGATTTTCCTAAGGACTTGCCGACTTGGGCAAACCTGAAATGAAATCCATTGAAATTTTGTTCCACACCTGGTTGGGAATGGGAAGTGGTTGTAGCAGTCCAGCCAGGGCCTGTGTAAGGTATTATGTTGCTGGAAAATGGTGCAAGCTGCCATGAAGTCCTGAACCATCTTCTTCATGCTGTGCCAATAATAAACGGTAGGTTCTCAAAACACCTGAATGACCACCAGGTGGTGTTTCATGGAATAATTGAAGTAATTCTTTAAAGTGTCCGGACTGAGAGGCCAAAACTAGGAGCCCCTTATAGAATATATTGGGCCCAACATCAGAATAACCTGGAATCAGAGAAGGATCTTGCTACCACTTTGTTTTGATCAGGCCCTGCTCACTGTTGTTTTGGGCCTCACTCTTAATCTGATCAACCAAGGCATAACTGGGCCTGGAGGCATGCAATTGGGCTAGCTCTTTGGAGTGAGAAAGCGCATTTGCCACTATATTCAATGGGCCTGACTTGTATTCAATGGCAAAATCATAGCACATTAACTTTGATGCTCACTTTGTTGTTCAAGGGTGAGAACCTGCTGGTCCAAAAGATGTCTTGGACTTTTCTGGTCTGACTGAACTATGAATTTCCTCCCTAGGAGATAAGAAGCTCTCCGTTTGTGCACTGAAAGGGCCACAACCATGGGTTCCTTCTCATATGTGGGCTTGTTGTGGGCCAAAGGAGAAGGGCCTTGTAGTAGGCCACTGGTTGGCCACCTTGCATGAGAATGGCCCCAATGCCTCTTCTTGAGGCATCAAACTCTACAACGAACTCCTTAGAGAAATCTGGAAGAACTGGGGTAGGTGGGGAGGTAATGGCTTGCTAATGAAAGCCTGCTCAGCTTGTGCAGTCCATTCAAAGGAGTCCCTCTTTAAGAGTTGAGTCAGTGGGGATGCCAAGGTTCCATAATGCCTAATAAATCAGCAGTAGTAGTCTATTAATCCCAGAAATCCACGCAAGCATTTTACAGACCTGGGCTAGGCCTAAGAGGCCATTGCATCCACTTTTTCAGGGTCAGTCTTGACCTGGCTACCTGAGATGATGTGGCACAAATAGTGTTCGAAGGAACACTTGGAGAGCTTGACAAACAGTTGGTTCTTCCTGAGGGTATCTGAGGTACACTTGAGATGCTCCATGTGAAGGGCCCAAGTAGGGCTGTAGACTAAGATATCGAAGTGATAT